AGGAGGTAACTGAAAACAGAACCTTCTCTGAGAGATCCCCTCACCACATACAGGAATCCACCTCGAGGAGACTGCTGCCTGGATATCAGGTTCCCAGGTTGTCTGGTGTTGGATTGGTGCAGGACCATCCAACATAATCCCTCACTCAGTTTGCAGAGCTGATGTTACTTTCCCATTCTGCTTCACTGGATTTGAGGTGAAGATAGTAGAAACCCTCCTCCTTCTGCAAAGACAACAAATTCCTGATGCTGCCTGGTCTTGGACATCAGTTGATCCACTACTTACAGTTGTAACTACCCTACTATAAGAACATGAGGGTAAAACATATTGGGGAGCCCGATAGCATCATAAGATCGTGCAATGGGTGACCACGAAATCCATATATTTAAAAGTGGGCCAGCATTAGATTTTTAATGGAGAATGGGCAGAGACCACTGCCTGCTTTACTCAAGACAGTCCACGACTGGGTATTGTCTGAATCAGGCCTTGTTTAAGAGAACGTGCACAGTTAGGATACTTGAGCTGTCTTGTAGTACATCCCTTCTCATAAGTGAATGCTATATCAGACCTTGATGACCCTGCACTGTGTGAATTTTGAATATGTATACCCTGGTAGGCACCATTTGTTACTGAGCAGGATCCAGTGACATAAGAGGGCTATGGAAAGGCAAGAAAACAAGAAAAAGAACCTACCCAGGAAGAGCTGGTAAGAAGTGTGTATAATGGCAACGAGAGGCAGTCTATAGCCCAATGATGAAGAAAGAGCTGGATGATGGAGATAGTGTAACAAAAGTGTGAGGAGTTTCCACATGTCAGCCTGAACAATCTCCTCCAACAGACGACGGACGTAAGCAGCTAAAAGAGTGTAAGGTGCTGGATTTGATGTGAGGACACCTGGAGCATACTAAACAGATGAGATGATAAAGCCATCCAGTTATGGTAATGGGAGAAAGATCGCTGGTGAAAAGGGAGCAGAGTAACAACAAACTGCTTGAACAAAACAGAACAGCTAATCAGAACAAGAATAATGATGAAAAATAGATGGGAGAGACACATGAGTGAATGTGCTGTCACCCTCACATGCCACAGATGTTTTAGAGAGAATATGCAATCAGGATAGAGAAGGATAGAGAAACAATGAAAAAGAATGTGTGACGAATCGATGCCATACACATCGATGACCATTGGCAAAAAAGAGGAGAAATAGGTTTTAAGGAAGAGGTGGTATGAAAAACAGTAGGCCAAAGATTCAAGTGGGTGAAGAGTAAGTGTATGGAGAACAACGTTCTGGTCCCAACTGGGAAGGATGGAAAGATTGGGAGGACAAAAATGATGAAAGGAACAAAAGAGCATAGTGAGGACCAGGAAGGGAAAATGTTGATGGTTATGGAAAAACCAGAATGATTAGAGAGAGCCTCCAGGTAACCAGTGATGCTTGATACCGATAAACCCTGGTTGTAAACACAGGAAGGATTCAGAGATATGGGGAACAGAAGAGCAAGAAGAGAAGAAAGAACAACACAGTGTCCAACTGCAAAATACACAACATTTCTAATGATAGACAAGGAAGGAGGATGGACTGTTAGAAAGAGAAAGAAGAAAGATTATACACAAAGATAGTCCAGAATGTTTTGAAAGGGACTGGACAACAGAGTGACAACGTGGCTGAATGGAAGATGTAGGAATAAGGCTTAAAAAGAAGAGAACAGGATAGAGGAAGAAGATGGGAGAACTGGAGAAGACTCAAGATAGGAAACCATATTTGAGCTGGCCAAAAGGATGCCACAAGAAAGATTCAACAAAGATCTCTTATGGGGGAGAGAACACATGAGAGGAGACAAATATGGAGTAAAAAATAGAGAAATAAGTTGGACCAGTTCTGACTTAATGCATTCACAGCCAGAACTAAGGATGCAGAACAGAAGACCAGAAAGGGAGATGACCCAAGGCGATTCCACAGAAGAATAAGTACCCAAAAGAGAAATAACTTCTTGTGCAGGGAGAGAAGGAGTGGATTGTGCAGTGGAAAGCAATCACTCCATGTCCTTCAAACAAAGTGAAGAAGGTAAGGCCTTGCTGAAATAATAATTGAAGAGCAAATTAGAATGAACCAAATATTGAGTGGGTGTGAGATGAGTCTTCTCCAACTAGACTAATCAACGAATAAGAGCTGCCTCCAGAAGGAGGAGAAGAGTATGGCTATAGGAGCCCTGTTGGGATGGAGCTAAAAGAAGCCAGTCATCCATATAATGGTAAAACTGCAATCCTAAGCTGTGGATGTGATGAATAAAAGCATGCATTGGTTAGCAAAAATGCATAGGGCCAGCACAAGGTCAAAAGGGAAAATGCAGAACTGATAAACTTGACCTCAATGAACAAATCAAAGGTAAAATCTGGATCCAGGGGAAATGATACTGTGAAAATAAGCATCTGAGAACATTTTAAGTCTCCATGGTAAATCAAAGTAGGTCAAGAAACCAACTGAGGCATGAAAGATCTATGACTAGATGCTAATCCCTGTCTTTCTTGGGAAAAACAAACAGATGGGAATAAAATTCTGAAGATGGATGAGTAACCTGTTCAATAGTATCCTTGTCCAATAAGTCCAACACTGCCTCAGAAAGAAGCAGGAAGAGGAAAGAAAGCAGGAGGATGGGAGACAGAAATGGGTAATAAAAAAGCTTGAGAGAGATGAGAAACCAATGAGAAAAAGAAAGAATGTTAGTGCACAGCCTCAATAAGTGACCCCAGAGAGTCAAGTACTCCACCAAAAACTCTCTAGCAGAGAAAGGGAGTCATATGAAGATCCCTGTGATAAAAGGGAGGCAAATGCACTTGAGAAAGAAGGGCATCCCTCCACAACAAATTCTAGCAAGAGAGCAACCAAGTTTGAAAGAGATAAACATGCCAAAGTAAACAAGATAAGTGAACAAATATTTACCAAAAAACTCTCAAGGGAACAGTGAATGGCTTCAAGAAAAAGGTGAATGGAGGAAAGATAGCATAAGAAGGCAGTAAGGGTAAGATGAAGAGAAGGGAATTAAACCCGAGAATGACAAAGACAAGAGGAAGAAGATTTCGACCATCCAGAAAAAGGAAATCAGCCCAATGATACGCTTAGACATGTGTATTAACCAAGCAAAGAGATCAAGGTATGCCAGCACCAAAACAAAGTTGGGATAAAAAATCTGTTCAGCATGGACCTGAATATCAGGAAAAGGAGGAAAAACGTAATAGTCACAAAAAGGGGTTGAATGGAGAAGAGAAGGTGAAGAATCATATGACATAGAAGATAGAGAACGTATGTAACAAACCTGAAAAACCATAACCAATAAAAAAGTGGAAGACCTTGGGAGATTGATTACAGTAGTGGTAGAAATATTGACAAAAGCTAGTAGTTGATAAAAACTGTCAAAATCCTTGTCTTCACAAACTGGATCCACAGAAAAAGAAATATCCTTTTCATGCTCAGAAGAAAGTTCAGACCAGATAAAAGAATCCATTGACCATCACACAAAGGCTGTCACCTTCTCAACAGACATGAATAATTTCTTGCTACCTGACACCAGACAAAGTTGAAGTGACAGTAACTTGAGAATTCATAATGTGGAAAGAAAAAAACCCTCAAAATCTGCAAGTTCCAAATTATTTAAACATCAAGCTAGAAATTTAAAGTTCAAAATTAGACTTTTCACAAAAATGTTTTGGTATGTGTATAATTCCAGAATAAAAAAAATTGCCTTTTTTAATAAATTTCACAAGTAAAAGAATAAATAAACAAATCTTAACACACAGATGCCAAATCGAGAAGTGATAATTGAACAACCAATAAAGAGGAATTCAGCTGTGCTAGGAACGTGTGTTGCACTCCTATCAGTGGAAGGTAGGAACCTCATGGTTAATGGCAAGCAAGAAAGTTCACATATAGCGGGTAGCACTGAATAAGGAAAGCTATATACGAGAAGAGGTTACATATCATAAGTTGTACATAGCATGTCACAAAACTTTTTCAAATAGATTCATGATCATCTCTGGATTCTGTGCCAGGAACAAGTTAGAAATCAGAAGACTGGATGAAAAAGATATGGTGAACTCTAATTACTATAAGACCAATTTTCTGGAACCTTTGTATCACACAGAAATACTGGCTTGGTATGCAAATGAGTATGGGTTCCTAGGATGAGGCTTCCGGTCATATGTAACTCCCTTTCAATAATTGCCTACTTTAAGCAGCTGGAAAATGAAATGGCTATTCATGTTCTTCCACATCAAGTCATACCAGTCAAACCATCAAATGGACTTTTGTTTGATCAGACTATTGAAACTTTTTTCTTTGTACACTGGATAGACCGCAGAAAGTTTACAAGGAGGAGTGGTATGCTTTGGACATTACAATGGAAACTGCACTATAGGGCTATTATTAAGATGTATCAGGTAGAGAATGACCAGGTGTATGGACATGGACTGTTATGATGTGGTAAGACTCCACGTAACAGAAATAAATCTCTGTATACACCAAGTTATACGGTAAAGACATTAGATGTACATTGAGTTAGAAAGTATAAATTAAGTTACCATAAAGTTTAAAAGGATAGATGTGTATCAGTTTAGAAAGCAAGTATATTAGTTGTGCATCAGCTTTCAAAGGGTTTTAGTAATTCCATAGTTTATATTTCAAAAGAAACGTTTTATCTGTTAAAATACAAAATAATTATAATGATTCTTCTTTTTCTTGATTATTACAACTACGTAGATTTTTTGAAGCTTATAATCTATAAGTCAGAGAATATAGTTTCAGACACATACTGAATCCTGTGCACATTTTAAAATCTAAATGGCACTTAAAGAGTTATGAAACAAACAAGTGATTAATGAAGATACAAAACAATTTACATTCATTTTAAACGGTGTTACCTTTCCAAGAAAACATACACATGTTATTGTATAATTACAAAGTAAATATAAATCACTATAGCATCAAACCATTATTGAAAAAAACATTAACAATATTTATACCTTGATGATGCAAAAATACCTCCGTTTAGACCACCAAAAGTAGAAAGTGCTACAGAGACTGGCATAATCCATGCCATCACTCCCAAAATCCTTTCTCCAAATGTCTGAAAAACAAAAATCCATTACCTGTTTATTTAATTTTACATAATTAGTTTTACAATTCTCTTTATAGCATCTGTAATGTTTAATAGTGATTATTCACAGGAGGGGTTCGGGGTGGGTGGAGTGCAAATGATCCCCCTTTTGGATCACAACTAAACATTCATTCAACAGACAAATAATTTCTTACTACAACCATAATGTATCCAAACATACTGAACAGCCAGTGATCACATACTGAACAGCCAGTGATCACACTTCTCAGTTTGAGAAGAGAAAGAACCAGACTGTTCTATCTTGTACTGACCAGCAACATGCCATTCTATAAAATCCCATGTTGGAAAGGATAAATCCTTTATATTTTCATTTATACCGGAGAAATTAAGTATACTTCAGAGGCTGTGGCTGTTAAAACTTACCACACTCCTAGCCAATTTGATACAGAATGGCACAGTGTTTAAGCTGAAGAATTCATATGACAGTATATATACCTTCTATTTATTATATAATTTGGTGTAAAATAGCTACTAAAAAAATGATTTATGTACACATAATTATTTGTGAAAGTTGCGTGAGTAATTATTTCAACATAACTTGTTTATCATCAAGGTCTCCTTGTGATATGTGCAAGTATTTGTGTGTGTGTGTGTGTGTGTGTACATGTCTAAGAAAGACATACAATGAACAGAAATGACCTCCCCCTCCAAGAAAACCATGGTGATCCCTTTGATTCAAGTAAGGTGTCTGAAACTCAAACTTTTATATTTTCTGATTGAAGGAAAAGACTAACTATGCTGAAACATAAAAGAGCTGAAGGTTAGGTAAATAAATAAAACATGTTCATTCAAGTACCATGTAGTACCACTGTAAAATGGTAACCCTATTATAAACAACTTCAAAATAATAACCATTGATTTAACTTGTTAAGCTAATACTCACATACTGAAAACACTTCTATACTTACAGAAAATATTAGATGTTAAAACTGTAGAGAATATATTTATTTTCAATATCTCTAATCTCTCCAGTGTTAATCGTCAGTTTTGCTTTTTCTACACTATAATCTTAAACCAAGACATTTTCAACAATTTTGGTATAAAATTTATAAAAAATAGTAGCATACCACAGCAACTGCATTAGAAGACAATAATTCTTGTTGGGTAAGGACGGCAAAATAAGCCAAGTTGGCCATAACATACACTACAGTCACCAGAGGAAGTGATATGTAAATTGCTCGAGGAAGGTTTCTAAAGAATAAAAATGAATCAAGAGTGTAAACGAATAAAATGTATTTTTAATAACAGTAATTTCCAGCATTTTCTATGTTTAATTCAAAGAAAGACCTGAAATGTTTAGGAACTGGCCAGTTAACATAGTATTTTCTGTGTTCATAATTAAAAAAGACCTTTTTTGAACATGATAATTATAGATAAGTTAACATAGTACTTCTCTGTGTTTATAATTCACAAAAAGACCTGTTTTAATTGTGAATGTTATATAAAGTGCTTAGAAACTGGTAATTGACAGTTTTCAGCATTTCCTCTGTTCATAATTCAAAATGAGTTGTTAAATATGTAGTTCTTTTAACAATTTCTCAAATCACCAATCTCTGCACGTTTATATTTCTTACTAATCTCATTATTAATCTTGTACTGAATCCAAAACAAGTTATATGTAATATGATCTCCAAAAAAATAATTTGATATCTTGAATTCCTTTCATAACCTATGAGCAATATTAAAAATTCAGAGTCCTTTATCCAAAAAAGAGACTTCTTAAGTCTTTGCTGGTGTTGCTTTAGATTTATCTACTCTTATATAGGTTTATTATATATTTTCCTAATTTCAATTTCCTTAATCAAATTATGACAACAATTTTAATTTTGTAAATACAGAATTTGGAGTAGTTATGTATCTAGATGGTACAAAACAATCATACATAAACTACAACTAAATCTTTAGAGTTTAGTTAAGTATTTAGATGGTACAAAACAACCATACATAAACTACAACTAAATCTTTAGAGTTTACTCCTTGCAAGTTATAATTTTCCTATACTGAAAATGTATTTCTGATAGGTACTTCCCTCTTCTCACAAGATTAGCTTTTCCCATTTTGTGTTGTCCCCTATATGCAAACTTTGGTACAGTGTGCAAGTGATGTTAATAGCAAACAGATTAGACTGATGCTGTCCACAGGCCAAGAGGAGAAGGAAGTATGCCTTATGGGATAGGTGTAAACAAAGAGCACAAGGTAATGGGCTCAAACAGAGGTAAAGTAAGGGAATCGAGTATCACATTAATATCCCAATCCGGATGGACTAGAAGCTGGGATACCCCAAGCCAGGTCCCAGGTGCAAATAAAATTTCATTTCTGCTAGTACATAGCCATGGATGAAGGATGAAAGGAATGAGCTAAATGAGATGCCACCTGATGTGAGAAACCATATCTCCTCTCCAGGGACCAAACAAAAGCCAGGCACGAAGATGGAGGATGTGAAGTGTGGATGCAGAACCGGCAACTGGGGTTAATGAAGAAGTTGAGGAAATAAAGGAAGAGGGGTGGGAAGGAACAACTGTTGCTGGGATAATCAAGGAAACCACGTTTGAGTGGGCCAGTAAGAAGCAATAAGAAGGGCTTTATATGGAGTGGTATGGGTGAAGGAGACTTTATGATAAAGTAATCAAATAGGAGGGTGAACATAAAGAAATTTGTTCGACCAATCCTGGCTGAAGGCATCTATAGCCAAAGCCTGTGGATGGGAAACTTGGGACCTAAACAAAGATAACTGGTGATTGATGGTGGTGGCAAATGCATTGATATGATGAATACACCACCGATTACAAAGCCACCAAAAAACTAGGGGATGAAAGGACCACTTTGTCAGGTAAACATGGCTGGGTCAGGAAAGACGATCTGCCACAAGGTTGAAAGCACACAGTACATGACATGCCATCAAAAGAATGTGATGATAGTGGGTCCAACACAGAAGATCCAATGTTAGAAAACACAGGGATCTCGACTGGGTGCCACCTTGGTGATTGATATGAGCCACAACTGTTGAACTGTCGAAATGGATCATGACCAGATGATCTCTGGAGATGGGAAGAGAGTGATCCAAAGCCCAATGAACAGCAAGGAGTTCAAGGATGTTGGTATGAAGAGAACGTTCCAGACAGACCAATGACCTAAAGCCTCCTGGTGATTGACCCATTCACCCTAGCCCTGAAGGGATGCATTCGTGAACAGATGGAAATCTGGTGATGGAAAAGGAAGTGGGACACTGCCGATGTATGAACCTTGTCCAACCACCCTTGGAGATCATCCACAATGAAGGAAGGGTTATAGGAGTACCCAAGTGATCCTGAGAATGGTTCCATTGGTCATAGAGGACGCATTGAAGGAATCGCCTATGAGCCCAGCCAAGGGGTATGATAGGAGTCATAGAAGAATGCATCCTTATAAGTGATAGAACCTCGTGAGCAGAAAGTGAAGGAGCAAACAGGGTGTTTTGAACAGCCAGTTTCATAGAACAGAGCCAGAGAGGAGAAGGTTGGGCCCGGCTGAGAGAAGGAGCTGACGTGTATGACAGACCAACTCCCATTTGGAGTGAGTGAGAAGAAGCCAGTCGTCCATGTAAAAGTAAAAGTGCAACCCCAGGGCATAAAGATGTAGAGTGAAGATTCACACCACCTGACAAAAAGGTATGGCACTGAAGCCAGCCCAAAGGGTAGGGCACAAAATTGGTACACAACCCCACGATGGACAAACCAAAAATAAGGACGAGAATGCTTTGATATGGGACTAAGCAGATAAGCATTGGAGACTTGGTCATCCAAAGACCCGGAGAAGAGTAAGGTAGGATTCCCAGGTGAAACAAGACAGGTTGATGACTGGCCTCCAGTCCCTGGTCTTTTTGAGAACTACAAACAGGCGGGAGTAAATCCCCCCAATCTCGTGGAGCAGGTTCGGTAGCCTGTTGTGTGAGGATGTCTTTCAATGCCTCGGACAGACATTGGCATGACAATGGATCCCAAGGAGGAGGTAAGGAAAAAGGGATGCAGGACAAGGGTGGAATGGTATGATGAATCCCTCTGACAAAACTTGGTGAACCCAAAACATCGGAGATGAAAGAGCTCCACTGATGAACAAAGGTCGCCAGACAAGATCCCACCGGACCCAAACCCACCAGGTAATCACCAGAACCACTGTTGGCATACCATGCATCCTCATGAAAAACGATAAAGAGTAGCACCACGAGAAGGAGGAACAGGCAAGGGCTAAGAAGGGGAGAGTCAGGAGGCAGTAATGGGTGCCACGCTCGGCTCCAATGAGAAAGGGTGGATTGTTGTTGGACAAAAGACATTCTCGACTCTTTAGAGACGTGTCAAACATGAAATGTCTCAAAAACAGGGCCAAACAAAGGTCCTGTAGATAAGGAGATGGGTCAGTGACAATATGGTATCATGACCCAAAAGGTCCAAACAACAAATAAACCACATTTGCAGAACCAGAGCCGAAGACGACAGGCGAGCCAACATGGAAGTGAGGAGGGAGAGGACATCCTAGGAAACCCCTCATGGTTCTTGTGAAGAGCCTCAGACAGGAAAAGGATAAAGGAGAGGTGCCACAAAACAGTTGTCAGGCTAAGATGGAAGCAGGAATACTAGGCATGGGTAAGATTAATGGGACATTCAGGTCCTGCCCCAAACAGGCAAAACTGAACCCAACAATTGTGGGTCCAGATATGGACAGTTCGCTCTATGATAAGCGAGGGAAGACTGATCTGAAGCCCATGGGGACGAGGCATACTAACACTGTCATTTAACTGGGAGGTGAAACACTCAGTGTGAACCTAAATAACAGGGTACAGGGGAAACTAAATAAAGTTGAATCATGTAATAGGGAAAGAAATGGGCCATAAGAAATAGGAGCACTAGACAAAACATCAGATATCTGAGAAATACAACCCGTAAAAGCCAACGAGGGCCGAACGGAATCCTCAGGTAGGATTTGGGAAGACACGGCGAACTATGGGGGAAAACAAAAAAATCAAAATCCTCCTCAGCCTGGCCAAGCTCAAAAGGCTCAAACAGAAGGAGACAAATGTTGCTCCATATAATGCCCAATCTTCTTGTGAATAAAAGCTGATAAATCCCCCGATGGGTTACTCGCACCTTTGGCCTGAAGTATGGCATTAAATGAATGAGATGTACCTGATGTGGTAATGTTAACTTCGGAATTCACGCTTATACCAATAAACACGCACAAATTTCGAAAATAAAGTAAAAACAAATTCTGAAACTAAGTAAATTAAGTTTAGTTAAACCACTTCGAGAAGTAATGAGCAAAAAGAAAGACGTCCTAACTCAAGCACTGCCAAAAAAGAAATACTGGTTTGGTAGTGGCACATAGAGGGAGTCACATGAATCAAGTGATAGTAGTGCTCTCCTGTTGGTGAAGAGATGACGCATGGGGATTTGCATGAGAGACATGTTCGAATCTTTTCACATATAGAGGGCAGCACAAAATGGAATAAGCTAATCTTGTGAGAAAGGGGAAGTACCATATGGGAGGAAACATTTTCCAATTGATTTTTTTCACACAGTCTGATAAACTGTACTAAATATTTTATACCTTCTACTCACTGCATGAGATGAGAATAGCAGTTAATATAATTTGGAATTAAACAAAAGTAAAAGCTATGCACAAAGTAGTTTGAACAGATTCATTAATATCAACATTATTCTCACTGATTTGAGTTTATTCATTAATTCAAAACTTTACCATACACACTTACTTATGTGGGTCTTTTAGTTCTTCAGTTACAAAGTTCAAATAATTCCTAGCAAGAATGAACAGAAATTGAATCAGATTAGCTTTTCACATTCTAAATAATTATTTACAATTCACCTCATAGCTTAAAAATGTTACTATGTAGAAGAAATTTTTATATAAAACAAGTAACTGAAAAACAACAACACAAATTACAATGTTAATAAACTAACCTATGAGCTTTAACACAATGCATTCAACTTGTAGGACAGAAAAAGAAAAACATATTTTCATGACAAGTTTGATGATATTACCTTTTTCTATTTCAAACACGTCACAATCTGTTATTTGTAGGCAACCTCTCTACCTTAGTTAATTTTTATATTTTTCTGTTACACAGCAATATCTTGAGTTCATCTTTTACTTTTATTAATATCATGATCCTAATTTCAGTATTGCTGCATATCTATTTTTGTACGTTGTTTAACTGGATGTTGGCACAATAAAATATAACTGATTTTATTAAACACATTTCATACTATGTACCAAACATATACTGTGGTACAACTTCTGATAAGTAATACATTTGTACAAAAAGTACATGGCATGTGTGTTATTTGTATTCTTATATTATATATATATATATATACTCATTAATCTGCTTGAACACTTATTCTCTTAGTTACTCACTTTGATAATAAACAATGCTCTGGTTCCTGACATAGGTGAGACTTTTACCAATGCTCTTAAAGTGTCCACTATCTTAGTTGTTTTCTATTCTTTTTTTTTTATTAACAGCAAAATCATTATTAAACAAAGCAATAAGTACAACTCTGTATCACAGAAGAGGAGTAAAAGTTTCCTTACTGCAAGTTTTTCTCTTTAAAAACCAGAGAAATTTCTTATAATACATGAAATCTTTAAGTTATTT